ATTAATTAAATAATTATTACACTATTAGGTGATAAGACTAAAAATAACACTTACTGGAAAAGATTTAATGGACCAAACAATTTCACTGTTCTCTGGAACCCATTTGACACTTCCAACAGTGGTTTTAAACTTTGGCGAGTCCGCATCATTTGGAACTGGAATGTGAATCTCCACATTGTTGGCAGTTGATCTACGCTTAAATTGACTTTTTGCCTGATGAAGGGAAAAAAATCAGAAAAGCAGGCCTCTAAATGTTTCCATTATGCAAGTGAGTTCAGAGAGCTGCAAGACACACAATTCCCCTCCACCCCAATCTACATACTGAGAAACAGAACTGTAACAGAGAGATTGCAATTTACAAATGAAGTTTTCAAAAAGATGCAAGTCCCACAGAAATACTAAATACTTGTACAAAAATGCGAATACTGCTGGTCAAGCTTTGAAAACAAATGAAAGAGAAGACTAAAATTAGCCATAATTATTTTAGAACTTCTGACCTTGATCATGTACTCGATGCGGCTGTGGGAATGTTTTTCAATCACAGACTCAATCCAGATCAGTGGTTTTACCTAAGGGGGAAAAATACTTAACAGCTGCAGGTTTTACTTTGACACGGTCATGAAAATGTTGCTTCCCCTAAAGCTACACTCAACACGTGAACCCCACAGAAAACAGAAAGTCTGTGGTGTTCGAAATGACAAACAAGTTGTATTTACACAAATGAGCAAGCACTGATATACCAACAACCAAGTGTTACAAGAATTATAGGCTTAAAGCGGTATGTCTCAGATTAATCCCTAATAACAAAAAGTTGCATTCCAAAATATTTGATAATTTAACACATTAGGGACTGAACTATGACAAGCCCTAAAAATAACTCTAATTCAAACTACTGCCCTTAAAATAAAAAATTAATACTAAACTTTTCATTTGTTGTCTCCTGTGGCATATTATAGACCTTCTCTGTACTGAATTTTTCCTTTTCTGAAAGGAAAACTACCCTTATCACTGTGGCTAGCATACTCTAATAAAATTAAATGACTGTTGTTGTCAAGCACAATGAATTGCTACGCTGACATTTCATCACGTAGTTAACTTAAAAAAAAAGTCACTGCAGCAATGGTATTTCAGAAACAGTTTCAATAGCAGTTGAAAATATAGAGCCTTATTGCCAAGTTACTTGTAAACTCATTCTTACTTCCTCCAAAAAGACCGAGCACAAAGTTTTGCTATTAATGGCTGACTTTAAAACTACTATGCTGCCCCACACTTTAAGAAAAAAATAAAATAAAGAGAAAGCCATTAGCAATTTGCCTACAATCTAAAACATTCTCAAATAATAAAATCCTATAGTCTAGATCCATACATCTAGACTTACGTGGGTATTAAGACGATACGACATGAGTTCAAACTCTCCATCAGGTGGAATGAAAGAAATCGTCCTGTCGTTTTCAAAGCGAGAGAGACGAACACACTGGTGAAACTTTACATCTTCCAGTTCTACCGATTTACTTTTGCCACCTAGCAGAAAATACACATTTCAAGGCGCTACACAAATTACATCCGACATCTCATCGCAGCCAGTTATGCAGCAAAGTAGTTGTCTGCTGGCATTTTAGCCAATACTTTCTTTAGCTTGCTCTAGGTTTTTAGGACTACAGAAGTCCCAGTGAGAAAAGAGATGAGGAAGCCCAGATGGTTACCATGTATTACCACGGTGTTCCATCTTTGCTTGGTATTGTCACACAAGACCTAATGTGGTTTTCTACACTGACAAAGGGAGTATTTCTATCATCTTAGAACAAATCCTTTCAGCTGAACCTCAAGCATCCCAAAACCTAAGACTTCAGATAGCATCCTTCATGATTACCGAGATTATCACCCAAATACTCACGGCCTGTATTATCAAAGAGAACTTTGTCATTTAAACCAAGGCGCAGCTCTGGCATTCCCGAGAGAAAGACTCGCATTTTAATGGATCCAACTATCTCACTCCGTAATACGTTTCCATTGGCACTGACCTAAACAAAAAAGAAAAGAAAGGTAAGATTGCTCTGATGTGATATGTCATGACATCAAACAATACTCCCACCCCATGCCCACGTCCCAACTTTTCTTGGATGTCTCTCTCCTGATAAATTAATCTAGTAAAGTAGAATTAGGTCAGAGAGGTGATGGGCACAGACAAAGGAGGAAAGGGATCATAGAATCGTTTAGGCTGGAAGAGACCTTCAAGATCATCAAGTCCAACCATTAACCTAACACTGCCAAGGCCACCACTAAACCATGTCCCTAAGCACCATGTCTACACATCTTTTAAATAGTATCTCCAGGGATGGTGACTCAACCACTTCGCTGGGCAGCCTGTCCCAGCGCTTGACAACCCCTTCAGTGAAGAACATACCAGAAATTACCAATACCTCCAAGTCAAGCACTATTTGTCAAACGGATGTCCTTAAGGGTACTCGGTCTTAGTAACTGACATTGTTTTGAGCATCACAGTACACTAGCCACAGTCAGTCTGACTTTTTATCGTACCCTTGCAGGCTTTCAGACAATAAGCCCTTTTCAACACTTCCTATTACAATTCTCATTAAAAGTTAAAGTAAAAGGTACCCACCAAAAGGTTAACAGACTCTATAACGTCCAGGAACACTTCATTTTTCCTGTATTTTATCCCTTCTGATCTCCATGAAACAGCATTCGTAACAGTGGCAGGTGGACGTGGAGCTCCAGTTTCAAGTTTGTGACCTTCCTGAGTGATGTACCTTTATAGCCACATAATTGGCATGAAAAAATGAAAATTAATTTTTTTGATAACTAGACCAGGCCAAAACATTTATTTGCATATGGAAGAATGCTCAAAACTTTCCAAGGAGTTTCTTACTGTAAGTGATACAGAATGATACTTACTCTTGTAAAATTTTACTATCAGTGGTTTGTGGATAACCAAAATCCATAAGCTCATCTAACAACTCATAAATAATAACAAAATTATCCCTAATGCTCTCTTCTTCCAACTCCTTGAAATATTCAGAAAAAACCTGAAACAAAATGACAGGAGGGAGGGGAAGAAGGAGGACATTATCTGAGGAAGTACACCACATTCAGAACGTATTCTTGCATCCAAAATAGTAATTTTTAAAAAGCCCCAAACCAAACCCCATAATTCACAAACAGCATTCTGTTCAGAAGATTAGCCTCGAGAAACTCATCTCTATTAAAAAAGAGAGCTACAGAATCCTAGAAACAACTCTGAGCACTATGAAAAATATTTATTCCGGGGAAAATATTTTTCATGCCAGGTACAGATGAACCAAACGTAGAATCTATAGGATATTCCACTACTCATGCATCAAGTTCACAATTCTCCTCTCTGTTCTCAGGTCTTGTGCAGCTACTTACAGCATTGTGTCACATCCTTTGCCTACTCAGCTACAAAATATCAATTCCATTATTAGTGATTGGGAAGACAGTTGTACAAAATAATCAAATATAAAGTAAAAATGCTGTTACCATAAAGTTCTTTAAAAATGTGAAAGTTCTATACTTTCTTCTGTTTAGATCAGATTTAGATTGAACTGAAAAGAAGACGGAGGTTACTTTTGAAATACTCACCTGAACTACTTTATATAAAAATGAGAACACCAGTGATACACAAGCATTTTTCTTAGAAGTTGCAACAACTGATAAAGGATGTTCAGGAACATGCATTCAAAGTCATCATCCAAAAAACATGTTTACTAAGCGCATTTCAAAAGTCTCTAGGCAATTAGAGTTGGCCAAAAAACCTAAGAGTTAATTAATTAACAGTACCTCTGGTCTAATGAGATATGAAGATAAACATTCAGGAAATAATTTATTAGAATAAAATTAATATAAACACTTTTCTGCACCCTACGCTGCTGGTGCACGTTACACTACGTAAAGCATAAAACGACTTTATTTAATAGAGCCTCCTTATGTCACTTCACCCATACTCTAGCTTTGCATTTAGACACAAACAACGAAAATAATATAGCAGCACTTGGCGTATCAGCATATGTAAGCTATTCGCAGTATAAAGGATACGATATAGGTTGTTATGTTTAATCCACATAAAACGAACTCCTCCATGTGCTAGAATAGGAGAAAGCGTCCCCTCTTCTTCCTTTTCCATAAGGATTGGCATAAAATGCTCCACCTCTGACATGTCCACATCTCCACGGTAATTCCGACAGATGAGAACCTATAAAGAGAGGAAGAAAATCCTTGTATTTTTTCTCTTTCACGAGATGATGTTACCCTGCAAGACCAACGTACAAGATATTTGGAAGGTCTCTTTAATTAACTTTAAAAAAGTCACCAAGCTTCACTCTAGCCTCCATGCATACTATAAATGCAAATCACAACGCCAAAATACTCTGCTGACTGGAACGCAAATCCTAATCTTTCATTGCAAAGTCATGTATTAATACTTTCCAGAGTTATTCTTCACCTATTGCTGCACACGCCCTAATAATGCTTTTAAGATGGGAAAACATGCAACTCCTCTGAGACAAACTACCTCCAATTACGGCAGAGATTAATTACCCCAGGTGGGATGCCCGTCTGCTACCAGCAACCTCCTCCCTCAACATCTGTGACTGCGAAGAGGAGACACAGGCCACGACTCCCCTGTCACAGCTCAGACCTGCTCAGACCCCGTAAAACTGGGGCTGGCAGCAAGGAGGGGCCGGGAAGGGGAAAGCGGCTGCCGCAGACCCCAGCGAAGCCGGGGAACCCCCACTGTGCCGGGGCCCCTCACCGACCGGAGCGTGCCCGACCCCCTCAGCAGCCCGGGGCGAGGGAGGCCCCTCGGTTCCGCCCCGCAGAGCCCC